AACATCAGACACATGCATATATATATATATATATATATATGTAAAATTATGAAACATATCAGACATAAGCGTGTTGCTAAATTAATCCCATAACTCCCTAATAATAAAAGACTACACACAAATATTAGGTAAAAGTCCATTTTTTAATCAATTTAAGATTTCTAATTTACATTATTTGGTATTTAAGAAATTATACTTTCTTAAATTGTATCATTATATTTTATTTCATTTTCTTTATTATATAATAAAAAATTATCAGACATCATATATATATATATATATATATATACAACATCACAGACACATGCATATATATATATATATATATATATGTAAAATTATGAAACATATCAGACATAAGCGTGTTGCTAAATTAATCCCATAACTCCCTAATAATAAAAGACTACACACAAATATTAGGTAAAAGTCCATTTTTAAATCAATTTAAGATTTCTAATTTACATTATTTGGTATTTAAGAAATTATACTTTCTTAAATTGTATCATTATATTTTATTTCATTTTCTTTATTATATAATAAATGATTATAATCAACACCTCTCTAATTTCACCTGTCATCTGGGAGGGATTATTACACTGAGCTTTTGCATTGTGTAATGGGAATGTCTTCCTCAATTTTCGCAAAAGACCTTAGAAGGGAGTATGATTATTATATTAGATCAGTCCTGACCTACTGACCTCTTGACCTAATTGACTGCAGTCATGGACCTCTGATGTGATCTTTGTGTGTTTGTGTGGGTTTCAGCTTACCACCATCCCCGTCTTGAGGAGCAGGTAGTGCACGGTCTGTGTGACGTCGGCTGCGTGTATCAGGTTGTGGTAGGGGTTTTTATGTTTGCTGTAACCCACTTCAAGAGCCTCCACAAATGAGACGAGTGCTGAGACGGTGATCTGTCAGAGACACAGTGTTAATAATAACTCTGAAAAAGACTCACTTCGACAAGAGCTGTTTTCACCTTGAAGCGGCTGATGAGGTCGTATCGGGTGAGGAGCTCGTAAAAGATGAATTTGAGTGCGTGGTCACCGCTCGACTCGTTCAGAGCAAATACATCAAAAGACCACTTATCCACATTCTGAGAAGAAGAAACACAGAAACAAACTCAGATACAGCACACAGATGTTGAGTGAACTGTTCCTTTAAGAGTAAATAATATTTTGGGCACTTTCATGTCCCTACATTTTAACCTTTTCTTTTTTGTTACATTAAAACTGCCTTGGAAACGTTGAATTATTCCTTCATTTATATTTTCAAGTGCTTTTATGTATATTTTGTATTGTTTTACCCTTGTCTCAAGCCCGATTTTCGATCTTAAACTATGAAAATCCATCATAAAACATTTATTGTGAAAAAGATTAATCACTATTAAACAAATTATGATAGTCTCTCAGAGGTGCGGGTCATTTCCACGATGAAAACACAATTTTGCCTCTAATAAAGTTTTATGAAAGTGTGGTGTACTTGTTTTATCTGGAAGAAAAAGTGTGCGTGAAGAGCTTGACATGAAATGAGACGTGTGAGGTGTGGTGTCAAAAATGGTATAATTAATGAACATTTTTTTTCCCCGTTAGTTTTTCAAAGTTGATCATATTATTATAATAAAATTATATAAAATTATTAGAATACAAAATGAAATCAATACATAATATACAATAATTACAAAATAAATAAATAATAAAATTAAATAATTGTATTAATATTTTTATCAGTATAGTTTTGTTTTACTATTTTTTTATTCATTTTAATAATTTAACTTACATTTAATCATTTTAATTAATTTTTACTTAATTTTAATAAAAATTAATTAATAAATTAATAAAAAATTTATTGTTTTTATTAATATATATATATATCAAATAATTAATAAAAAAATAAAAAAAAGAATTAAAAAGAATTAATAATACAATTATTATATGACAAAAATGTATGAATTAATGAATAAATAAATAAATACATACATACATAAATACACACATAAATTGATTTTTGTGTGTCATTTCCAATCAAGCTGTAATTTTGTCATAATAGACAAGAAATGTGAAAACATATTTTTTTGTATTTAGGATACAGAAATTGCTAGCTATGAATATACCTTTAGCAAGAGAAAGGACTTAGCCATTTTTCATTTTCAATTTAATTCCACCACAGAATGCTATTATACACAATACATCATCTGAGATATGGTGGAAATGTTCTTGACTTTCAGGGGAAAATGACAAAAATGACCGAAATCCTCCGTGATGCATGTATATCTACTGTTGGGCACTGTTAGTGAACAAATAAAAAGTACATGAAAAAGTATGTGACTCAAGTGAAAAAGTATATTTTAAAAGTTTTTTTTTTCTGAAGTGCACATGACCAAAAGTAGCCAGAGTTGAAGAAACACCCCTTTGTTTTAATTTTAATTTTTTTTGTGTGTGTGATACTTGAAGAGCAAAACAATGAGAAAGAAGTTAAGAGATAAAACAATGTCTGTTTCTTTGAATGGAAGAGTGTGTGTGTTTTACCTTAAGCACTGCTATGACAGACGGAGGGTAACTCAGTCCCACCATGTTAGAGGTTCGCCGGTACATTCTGTTAGAAAGAGATAAAAACATCTCAACAAGTAAAAGCGGCAGCACAGACCACAGACTCTCCAAACACAATGCCCTAATCTTCACCTACAAACCCCAGAACATCAAATGCAGAGGACAACCTGTACTTTCTTTAAGGAAATGCTTTGTCAAAGCAATGTATTTGTGCAGTGTTGCCTGAAATGCATTAGAATTTAATGAAATGTTGCTAACGGATGA